TAATTAACATAAGTTACGGGCCCCTGTTTTTGTGTGTACCAACAACAACAACAACAACAACAACAGCAGCCACAGCCACAGCCACAGCCACAGCAAGAGCAACAACAACAACAACAATAATAGCAACGGCAACAGCCACAACCACAACCACGACCCCAGCTGCAGTAGCTACAACAACATCCACATCATCAACGAGAGCAACACCACCAGGAAGCAGGACTAACGACGGCAGCCGCAGCCGCAACGACAACAACAACCACCCCAGCAGCAGGAGCAGCGGCAACAGCAACGACAACGACGACGACAACAGCAGCCACAACAACAACACCAAGAATGACAATAATAATAGTAGTAGCAATGATAATAACAACAAGTTCACTATAATATCAAGAAGAAAATGTTAGCAAGAAGAATAATAAGAAGAGGAACAACAACCAAAATAACAATAACAAGAGCAACAGCAACCGCAGCAGCAATAGCAGCAACGACAAAAACAACGACAACCACAGCAGCAGCAGCAGCAGCAGCAGGAACAACAACAACAAGACAAACAGCAGCAAAAGGAGCTGTTGTGGTACAAAGGTAAGCACAGGTAGCAGTCCAGTAGACGGTGACCGAATGCGATGTGGCACTATAACAGCACTGGTAGTCGTGGTGGCCATGCATCTTCTGGCGCGCCACCGTGGAGAGACAACTACAGAACCAGGGTTGGCGAGTGGGTAGAAATACCTGGAACGCGCATCAACTCAACGCAACCGTGGACTACTCGGGGCACAACAAGTACGTATCCTGTGCATTTTGCGGGGACTGGAGATGGATCAACAGATTACACCATATGCGTAGATGTTCATGTGGAGCACCATGGTCCCAAGACGCTTGGAACACCTTCTACGATACCTACGGAACCTTACCTGTTGCACAAGCATACCACAGCCAGAAAGGAAGAGGCAAGCAGAGTCGGCAGCAACGCGGATGGTATGAAGGCAAAGGAATCGGTCCACAAGAATATCCAGAATATGTGTTTCCCCCAACGAGCCCAGATACAAGACGTCGTCAACCATCACCGCAACGTCAAGCACCAGATGTGCATGGTGAATGCAATGAAGACGATGAGTCAGTTGAACTTCCCCCTCAGGTATGGCAGATCTGGAAAGATCTCACCACCCATATTTTGGGGAAATTTGCTCCCAGTGATCAGTTCCGTGCCAACGCGGAGAACTTCATGCAGAAATTCAAACCAAAGGTTGATCAGGCAGCCCAAGCACAGAAGGATTTACGCGAGGCACAGTCTATGGTCCGACAATTGGGAAATCGACGACACATCTTACAACAGCAGCTTGACAAGGCCAAAGCGCGACAGGAGGAGTTGGAGCACAAGCTGGAGGAATTGGATGAGGAGATTGCCGAGGCAACAAAAACTCAGCATGCAGCCACTACGGCATATAATGAATATGTGCTGCGTTCCAAACTCTTGGACCCAGCCTTTCCACAACTCCAGGATCTCTCACCTAGTGACATTGAGCTACTCGGCGACATACCCAAGCTTGAAGCTTTGTTGTCCGAAGTGGGGTCCACACTCAGCGAAAACCAACGACAAAGATTTGCACAATTGTTGCAAGATTCAGAGTTCACCAATCTATATGCCAAGAGGCGAAAGCAAGGAGTCCAGCACACAGAAGAGCTTTGGGAGGAAGCAGGTATGGACAACGACGAAGAGCGCATGGAACTACAACACGACGGACCGGAGCAACCACTACCCGGCCTTTAACACTGCGTACAACAGCAGGCACCGAATGTGGCGAATTTTCTCCGCTTTGATGTCCAGCCAGCAGAGCTGGAATCAGGGCAACTCATCATCACATCCAGCATGCCTGGAGCCCCACAATGTACGCGCCGATGTACTTGCACCACGCACTCAATCAGTGGCACCAGATGCAGGGTGGCAAGTGAGAGTCGTTTCACCCTTCTCAGATCTTGACACACGAATTTTAAACGCCATGAGGGAACCCACCAGCCTAGAAGCCCCCCCGGGTGATGTTTGCCATGACATGTTTTCCATACTTTTCGCGAACATCACATCCTGGTCTCCCCATGCGCAAGAATTTTTCCGAAATGCGAGGCAGCAAGTGTTAATGATGGCAGAACACAGGCAGTGCGATGTAGAAGATATGGATAAAATGCTAGTCAAATCTGGGTACCACACCGCTGCACAGCCTGCAATCATCAAGGAAGCAGGGCCCAGCTGTGGAGTCGCGATTGCCACCAAGTCTTACTTGAATAGCACCCCGCATCCAGTAGGCAATGAGCGTTGGCTTTCCAAGATAGTGCGGTTTAGAGGTTTTAACATGGTGTTAGTGGTTGCTTATTTTCCGGTGGATGGGATGCAGCACAGTCAATACAAGCAACTGCAACATGAAATAGGATCTTATCTTGGTTCATTGGACACTGCTTGGATAATTGCCGCTGACTTCAATTGCCAGCCTGAGGAACTGGCCAGCACAGGATGGCCCAGGCATATTGGTGGACAGATTGTCAGCCCAAACCAACCTACTATAAACACAGGATCTGTTCTAGACTACGTTATAGTTGCCAGGAAGTTAGAGGGTACAGTTAACGTGTCAGTTGAACTTGCCGTGCCTTGGAGGCCACATTACGGATTGAACATCTCCTTTAAGGCCAGCATACTTCGAACACCTGTTCCTGTGCTCAGCAGTGTCAACCTCACAGTAGGCGCAGGGCCACGAATGCCGTGGAAACACTATGCGAACAGCTCACCTGCCAATACGTTGGAAGAGGGCTACAAACAGTGGTGTTTACATGCTCAGCAGTACTTGGGATGTGCGGACACAGAGAGCGGGCAACTTCTAGGACACCGGCCCATGATCATCATGCAACCACGTGTTGAAGCGAAACATATGGACAATACGCACAAAGAAACACATGTTTGGTTTTGGGCTACCATGAGCAGGCTAGCTCGGGATTGGAGCCGATTGGACAACTCCAAACAGGCACACAGAGAGCTGCTGCAAAAGAAGTTACAAGACCTATCCATGAGGCTGGACGAGTTTTGGGGTGTCACTGAAACCGAATCAGAACATGTCGGAGAAAACTTTCCTGTGTTCTCAGACCCACATAACTTCAGCAAAAAAGGTATGCAAAAGATCTTGGGAAATCTGTGCATGCCAGGAGAAGTGATACTGAAGAACCTATTACACACTCTGCAGATGCGCTTTCAACATGCTGTCAAACTTGCGCACTTCACCAAACGAGTGGAATTGGAAAAGAAGTTGGGGAAACTGGGAGCTGCTCATAGATTCCTAAAGCGTGATGAAATTTCGTCCGCTCGACCGTTTACTCACTTGGATGTGGAACGTAGGCCCCAAGCCCGCAGAGAATATTGGGTAGGAGTGTGGGGTGAGGTCACGCGTGACTGTTTTGCAAGCAAACGCTTGCAACATTTGGCATTGGACCAGGCCGACAAGCTTAAACCCATTTCATCCAGTCAGATAAGGCACACGCTGAGACACATGAAAACCAAGAAGGGCGGAGGAGATGGTTGGTCCTTGCAGGCCCTCAAAGCCCTACCTGAAGAAGCCCTCTCGGGTTTAAGTTGGTTATTTCAGAAAGTTGAGCGGAGTCTTGATTGGCCATTAGGAGTGAAGTATATTGTCGTTGCTATGTTGCCGAAGAACCTGGAAACAGAAAGACCAATTAGTTTAACGTCTTATGTATACCGGCTGTACATGAAAATGCGCCAACATCTAGTAGACACTTGGGTTAAGAACATCATGACTCGCTCGCCTTGGGATGGAGCTGTGCCAGGTGGAAACGTGTTTGATCGAGTTTTGGGCCGCATGTTACGAAGTGAAGTAATGATTTATGCATCCCAATACCAAATTACGTTGTTGTTAGATATTAACAAGTTCTATGATAGTGTAGACCGAGACCGCCTCGTCGACGAAGCCCTTGAACTCGACTACCCCCCACTAGTGTTATTACTAGCCATGTTAGTTCACGCTAGCCCTCGGACGCTCGTGGCTG